CCATACCATACCACCATACCAAACCATACCATACCATACCACCATACCATACTACCATGCCATACCATACCATACCATACCATACCATACCATACCATACCATACCATACCATACCATACCATACCATACCAGGTTTATTTATAGAGCAGTTTAAACACCCACAGGACTAAAGTGCTATACACATAATTAAACAATTATACAGTTAGATAATAAAAAGCACTTAAAATGATTAAAAGTCAACATTTCAGATGGCGTCAAAGGCCAAGGAGAAGAGATGGGTTTTTAGAAGGTATTTTCAAACAGACAGGGAAGAGGCCTGTCTGCTGTCCAGGGGAAGGTCATTCTACATTTTAGGAGCTGCCACAGCGAAAGCACGGTCTCCTCTGAGCTGACGCTTTGTCTTCGGCACACTCAGGAGCAGTGATCACATGACCTGAGGGATCGACAGGGTGTGTTCTGTGTTATTTCTGTCCAAATAGCAGTGCGATGCAAAATTACTGACAAAGCGTTTGCATGTAATGCAACAAAAATTTGAATATTTGATTAAATATTGGAATATTGTAACATTGGATTTGGTTTAAGACATTAAAATCTTGGAACAAAATTTTGAACGTGAATCTGCTCAGACAGGTCATTGTTAGCTTGTCAACACAGTCTACGTGGTTAATAATGTTATTAACTAGTTATAGTTATGGTCCAAATGCGTTTCTAGTTGTGAGGCTAGCTCATGCATAAGCAGACTCTTTGTATCTGCTGCCTTTCTGAGCTGCTAAAAGTTGCATACACTAATATGATAAAGTTTGGACTGGCTCAGACCCAGTTCAAGTAATCTAACATTGAACGTCTCACATCATCATGGTGTACTGTTTCTTTACAATTTCTGTTACGTCTCTCATGTTCCTACAGCTCTTGTCCTCCACGGGAGAGATGTCTTGTGAATACGACTGATAGCTGAAGATCAGCTGACAGGTCCCGTTTGCTGCTCGGCAAGGCACTGTAGTAAGCACAAATTCGGTCTGCACATCCTGTAACAGTGTAGCCAGCCATCAGAGCAGTTTCAGGCTTTGAAACTTTTACCTGTACAGCTGCCTCATGCTGGGCTTCCTGTCTCATCTCATTGCCAGCAGCAATCATCTCAAGAGTTGCCTCCTACTGTGGTGGAGCATAGCAGCAGTAGTGGTACATCATGCTCCTACAGTGCTGAAGAGAAGCTTTTGTGTCAGACTTTCTGTAATGCTGGTGTTTCTTCCACAAGTTGAGAAAGAGCAAAAACCTTTCACACTTGTTGTCAGATGTGAATACATGCAGGCTGCACATGATAATGTGAAGGAGAAACGCATAGACATTTAAAGCCCATTGCAGCTTAGTTAATATTACAGCTTATAAACTCTATTAGAATCTTTCACTTCTTGTAAGAACTTGCACTCAAACTGATCTGTCTGAGACATTAAACAGCTGAATGTGAATCACAAGGTGTTTTTGTTTGGAGTGGGCATTTGCGTTGGGGATCACTACAAGTACTTGGGTGTACACCTGAATGACAACCTCAGCTGGAGCAACAACACCACCAGCCTGATCAAGAAAGCTCATAAGAGACTACTTCCTCAGGCGGCTGAGACGAGCTGGTCTGGGAAGCTCAGTCCTCACCTCCTTCTACAGGTGTGCAGTGGAGAGCATCCTGTGCTCCAGCATCAACGTGTGGCATGGAGGCTGCACAGCTGCAGAAAGAAAAGCTTTGCAGAGAGTGGTGAAGGCTGCACAGAAGTCTGTAGGAGTCAGCCTCCCCACCATCACAGACATCTACACCTCCAGATGCAGGAAGAGGGCCACCTGCATCATGAAGGACCCCACTCACCCAGCACACACTTTTTGCCCCACTCCCCTCAGGAAGGAGGTTAAGGAGCATTAAATGTAGAACCACTAGACTGAGGAACAGCTTCTACCCTGAGGCTGTTAGACTCATGAATCTCTAACTAGAATAATCACTGTGAAAAATCACATCATGTTGCTGCTGATCTGTTTCATGTTGCTGCTGATCTGTTTCATGTTGCTGCTGATCTGTTTCATGTTGTTGTTGATCTGTTTCAATGTTGATGTGTTCATGCGTGCACATCTGCTCACACAGACTCATGTTCATGTTTGTGCTGATGTTCAATGTTTTTATGTTATTAGTGCTTAGTGTATATTTAGATGATGTTTTTCTTAGTTCATATCTTAGATGTTATTACTGTTTTTCTTATACATTTCATTGTTGGATGTAACTGGGACCCTGTGTACATAATTTCGTTCCACCACATGTACCACATGAGGTGCAAATGACAATAAAGAATCTCTGACTCTGACTATCAGCTACTACCACACCAAAGTTTGGTCCAGTTTAGAAAAACTAACTGGGTTATAACCATTTTCTGTTTTCCAAAGTTGATCAGCTGGGGTGTCCGTTTTTCAGGTTGACGTCAAATATTGTAGACACATCCAGTGATTTTTTTTTTTCTTTCTGAGAGTTTCGCTGAAATTTGTCCACTGATTCATGATATTTTGCTAACAGACAGAGCAGCTTGGTTCCAACTTTTAATGACAAAGTTTCAAATGAAGATGTGGCAAAATTTGTGAGAGCCCATACTGTATGCCTTTTGATGGTGGGCGATCATAAGTAATGGATTTTACCCCACTAACTACAGGGTTTCTTCACGACTTATAGGAGTGATTATTTCTGTGCATGTGTGGCTGCATGATAGCACACACAGCACTCCACCCCATCACAGTCTAGTAATCCCCCCTGAAGATCTTTGCAGGCTGTAATTTGTCTTTGTTCTGAAATGCAAGTCTTTTTTTATTTTATTTTTTTACATTGCATAACAAAACTTTCACTTTTTCAATGAAAAACATGTTAACTGCTTCTTTTTAATGGCTTTTCCCTACTTTGTATTATTATTATTTTATTAAATCTTTATTTAGCCAGGCTCACCGAGATTAAAAATCCCTCTTTCAAGACCTGGCCAATGGCAGCAGCACACAGATAATTACAAATAATAAACTACAGATGTAAAAACACAATTATAATACATCATGGTAAATACTACTTGGCAAATATTAATTATTCTCAGTCTAAGAAAGCAGCTGTTTAGCGAGGCCCATGGATCACAGTGGAAACAAAGTTTGAGCTGTTTAAAAACTCAATATGACTGGGTCTGTCCTGGTTGTGATTTTAACTCAACTATACGCTAATTAACAACTGACATCTCACTAATGTTTTACAATGGGCCAACATGTTTGAATTTTTCTTTTGGTGTTACTCTGAAATTGTACGAAACAAACAATACAAAAACTTCTCATTATACTTTTTTTTTTTTGGGTTATAAAACTGCTCAGAATGGAAAAAAAAAATTGTAGCCATTGCTTTTTTCTTCTTTGTTTAAAAATAACATCAAGTTATTTTTAATTTGCAATATACTTTGATGTGCTTGAAACATACACACACACACATGCACACGCACACACTCAGAGTACACAGTCGAATATGTGCTGCGTCACTGAATCACTGTGAGACCCACAAACTGGTGTTTCCCCTGCAGTTTGTGTGAGAGCAGCAATGGATGGAGGGAGAGGAGCGACTTCTGCTGCTGCAAAGCAACATTTATCCTGAATGAGGACTTAAATGTTTCACAGAGGAACATCTGCTGCAAATCTGCGTGACAGCCATGGTGAGTTCAATTACCTTGTGTGTTCAGTAACTGAGACTGAGCTTTGCAGTTTTCTGTGCTTCATGACTGTACAGCTGCAGGGACGACCACAGGACTAACCTTGCGATGAACGATGCAGCAGGGCTGTTTACAGTGTGCACATAAATTGCTGCTTTAGTAACTTTGCCTCACTGGGGCCCAGTAAGTCTTTATGTGCTGCAGCAGAGCGTCATCATCACAGGAGAGGATTACTCACAGGTAAAACGCTGACCATTCAAACCTCAGCAAAGTGTCTCAATGCACCAAACTGACATGTTTCTTCTTGTTTGGATCACTTCATTCTATTTAAAAATTAAACCTGCAGAGTGCAGAGTGCCTCTGCATCCAAACCAGATCAGCACTTTAACAGGATGAGCACATGGAACGTCCAAGGAGTTCTGCTGCAATGCTGATGAGCCTAAACCCTTATTAAAATTAAAAATATATAGTATTTATATAAGATTATCTCAGTTTTGAACACAGATTAATGTCTAACTGATTTAAAAGCACTTGGTAAATAAAATAATATAATCAGTGATGTGGAATTTTTTGTGCAAACACAACTTTGTTTACATTTTATTGTTATAATGGATTCTGACTTCCTCATTTTTCTGCACCACAAAACTGGTTCTTGTTCTGTTTGTGTGTCTTAAGGCTAAATATGGAGGATAAATTGAAGCATTTTGTTATTCAGGCTTGCATATTGTTTACTATTTTTTATTAAGTCTTTCTGTGCATGCTTAGTACAGCAAATCCAAAACATGTAAAGCACACTCCCATATTCTGCACGTCTACTAAGTTTATTTGTAATCGTGTTTTTTTGTCATCTCTTATTATGGGCCATAGTCAGCTTTTTAAGCAGAGTCAGATCTTTCTGCACTGCAGCATGAGCGACAGTTCAGCAGATATGACATTTGTTATTTTTGTTGGACCAGTTATGACAGATTTTGGTTCATAGCAAGCTTCAGGGTGTGCTGATAAATCTAATAATCTTGATTCCCGGCTATTTTAAGCAAGTCTACATAGCTCATGTCTATTTTTTTCTTTCCTGCAGTTTGCAAAACAACTTCAGCCTCCAATCTTTGTGAACATCTTCACTGTGGTTTTTATTCTTACCTCGGTGTCTTCCCTGCCCGGAGAAACAGAGAAAGGAAGAAGAAAAGTGGTGCATGTTCTCGGTAAAGATTTCTGTACTCTGTTATTTGTTCAGTACTTACAAGCCAATGAGGTATTTTACTGATTTGACCCAAAATGTGAGAATAATGCATATAAACATTCTGCAGGGATTTCTCTTCCTCGTCTTGACCTTTAACACTCAGCCAAACCACCCAAGGCTTACAGGAACTACCGATAAAATAAGGAAATAAAAAAGAAAAATACAGAGCAGTTATTCAAACTTTTTAAAGTCATGGTGTTCAAAAAAGCAATTTCAAATCATGATTCTTATTAAGATCTAGTTTTATCTGTAATTACAGTTAACTTAATTCCTGTTTTGCTTATATTACAAATAACAAACTATGATATTTATGAAAATTTACATTTCATAAATCTAAGTGCAAATCTCCTGGAAACCCTTTAACACCAGAATTTTTAGTAAACAAAACACAAACCAAGGATTTTTCCATATTCTGCCATTTCTTCTATTCCTTTTTGTTGCTTATGCTTATAAACCTAACAAACACACATTTTGTCTGCTCTGAGAGCAGTTGGTAGCGAGGAGAATAACTGCTGCCTGACAGATAATTGTAGGAGCCATTACCTGCTCTGACTGTTGCAAAAACCTCTTGCAGCTGCTTGTTACAATTAATAAATCACAATTTTAGGAGTTAGTTGTGCCTCATTTCTTAAAGACTCAAGTCCAAGATTTAGTTTTAATCTTTGTGTTGTTATTAATTTTCTAGAATGTGACAAAGAAAAAGTGGCAGAAAAGGATACATTTGGAGTAACAACATGGGTCTTTTAAAATTTTTAATTATTGAAAAAAGCAGTATTATGTAGATTTGAGCATCTCTAAAATGATTTAAGGAACGTGTTTATGCAACTTTGTTTTGGCGGGTTTATCTTAATGTGCAAAGTGTTTTTTAATGTAGGTTTTAATTTTTATTACATTCTTAAGCAAATGTCTACCAAAATTACAAATTAGGCCCTGCTAATTGTTTATTTGGGTTAACAGTTACTTTTGAGTTGTTTAGGTGAAATATGCTCTGTAGGACCTTAGGTTGTACTTTAGAGTGGTGGAAAATTTGGTTATGGGTGTTAGTAAAAAGGTAGAGCCATAAAAGTAACATGATTAGTATGATAAACAAAAACGTTTTTGGTTTGAAGAATGCAAATAGTTAAACTATTTAAATATTATCTTCTCGCTATCCCTCTCTTAGAGGATGAATCCGGAGCTGTGATTGTGCAGACAGCTCCTGGTAAGGTGGTGACGCACCGAGGTGGCTCCATCACTCTGCCCTGCAGATTCCTCCATGAGCCAGAGAACACAGATCCTGCTCGCATCCGCATCAAATGGACCAAAGTGACAGATTCCCTGCAGTTTGAGGATGTCTTTGTTGCACTCGGAAAGTAAATTCTGCATCTGCACTTGTTTCTTAACACACTAGTTTAACAAATCTTTTAAAAAGTTGTATTCTTTATCGAGTCATAGCTAACTAAAATAATATAAGTCTTGCAACATAGTGAGATCTCAGAACTGTATTAACACTTTGCATATTGGTTGTTAATTACTCTGAGCTACTATTAAACTTTAGATCAACATCTTGATGCACACGATTGACACCAATATTTACTGCCAAAGTGTGTGCTGGGAAATAATCTAAGTTACTTCCACACCAAATTTTAGCTAGACATCTGTAAATGTGGCCGAGCTGTAGCTATTATTGTGTTTTCTACGAACAGCTGTCTGTGCCATCTAAAACTGGATTAACTTCAAAAGCTATGATGTACATTTAATGCTTGCTTTTTTGATTTTCATTCAAATATGTTCAGTGACTTATTAGATGTTTTTCTAACACCACAGATGAACAGTCATGCACACACAAACACATGCAAAACATTATTACCTTTTCACCTTCGGCATTGGACAATAAAGATATTTTTGGCAAATTTTCACCATATTTTTCACACATTTTCTGTTTGTTTTCACTTGGCAAATGTGCGCATGAACCACTGAATTAAGGCATGCCTTGCAGAGTTTTCTCTAGTCAATAATTAGTTTTTATTAAAAGACATCATGTCTTTACAATCCCCCCCCACCCCAGGCAGGAGCGTGTGTTTGGTTCCTACCGAGGCCGGGTGTTTTTGGAGCAGGCAGGACCAGGCGATGCCTCTGTGATCATCCAAAATGTCACTCTGGAGGACTACGGGCGCTACGAGTGCGAAGTTACCAATGACATGGAGGATGATACAGGATTTGTCAATCTGGACTTAGAAGGTCAGGAATCAGTTTCACCTTAAACCATTATGCTGAAACTAACATCTAATGTCTCGTCCTCTAATATGATGTCAGATGTCTCTGAAGACTCAACTCTGAAGACTCAACCATTATGTCTCCCCTGCAGGAGTGGTCTTCCCCTACTATCCCCGGGAGGGGCGCTATAAGCTTAACTACCACCAGGCTGAAGACGCCTGCAAACATCAGGATGCCATCCTGGCTTCTCATTCTCAGCTCCACAAAGTGAGCTCATTTTGGGCCTGACAAGAATAATCTGCCATGTTCATGGTAGTTTTAAGAAAGTTTTCAAGAGAACACTTTCCAATGTAATTGTAGGGTGCTCTTTAATCTCTGTCTTGTACTTGCAGAAGTCATTTAACTGTAGTAATACGTGTAAAATAATACAAGTAACTGAACAAATTATACATTTCACTGTAGCTTTATATTTTTGGTACAAGGACCTGGAAGCAGTTAATAAAGTGATAGTCAAAAAAAGAAGTTCTTACCCTTTTAACGACTTTAATCTTTAACCTACATTGTGCTTTTCAACAGGCTTGGCTGGATGGATTAGACTGGTGTAACGCTGGATGGCTGGAGGACGGCTCGGTCCAGTACCCCATCTCCCATCCCAGGGACGAGTGTGGCCGTAAGGACAACCCTGCTGGTGTTCGGAATTACGGATACAGGCACAAGGAGGACGAGCGCTATGATGCTTTCTGCTTTACTTCCAAGATGAATGGTGAGAATCAGAGATTTGCAAACTGGTGCACATAGCTAATACAGTATCATACAGTGATGGCATAGTTACAGTGAAAAAGTAACTTCGTTAAGTTACTGATTAGTCTTTGGGAAAAGTAACTTAGTTAAGTTACTGATTACTTGATTTGAAAAGTAACTAAGTTAGATTACGTTACTTTAAGCAGCTGCTGACAACGACCCTCCGCCACCTCAGCATAAAAATTACTTTGAGCTTTGCCAATACTGACTTTATTGAAAGTGCATTTTAATGGTAACATCATCAATGTATCTCTTGACATAAAGTTGAACTTAAAAACTATTTCAGGAAAAAAAATACATGTTCACTTTGTTAAACATAATTATTTTAAAAATAAAAATATAATAAAGACCGTCTTTCAAAATCAAAATCACAGTTTTTTTACTCGCTCCCTACCTGCGTCTCTCAGCCATCGGAGTTTGGATTTAGGACAACTGACAGCTGCGAGAAGGGCGTCTTTGTCGTCCAGCACACTGGCAAACGAGTCTGGATAGCCTGAAAAATATAATTGATATGTTTTGATATGTCTATGAGGCCTACTAATTACAGTGTTCTGTCATTGAATTAGTTTCAAACCATGCCTAATGTGGGATCAATATTATGGATTTAATTTTGTTTTAGGATTCTTATTGACATTTGTATTTGTTTTAAAAAAATGTTTTCGATGATAATTAATATACTGTGCAATGTACAAAAATAGTGTGATGTAAGAAAAATTAACCAGTTTACAGATGGAACATACCTTCACTTTAACATCTGGAAGGCCTGCAGTCATCCTGGAGAACAAATCTTTCACAGCCAGGTCTTCTGCATCAGAACTTCAAGTGTGGGTAGTAAAGCCCCATAAGGACAGTCACCTTGTTACTCCCACATAGCTTCTGTTACTGGCATTAGAAGTCCAAATATCTGCTGTAGTTGACACAAAGTTGATATCATTCAACACAGTCTTCAGATTTCTCTCCCTCTCTGTCACAGCTCTCTGTTTCGAACCACCTGGTGGGGCTTTCTCCATGTTTGACTGTTCGTGCTGCGACTCCGTTTCTTCAGATTTGATGTGGTGCTTTTGAAGCTAGACAGAACTTTCTCAGTACTACAGTACAGTACTAAAGAAAATGACAAAAATAGTAACAGTAATTTGGATAAGTAACTTTAATCTGATTACTGGATTTTGAAATAGCAACACGTTAGATTACTAGTTATTGAAAAAAGTGGTCCAATGTCAGTAGCGCGTTATTTTGTAACGCGCTACTGACATCACTGGTATCATACATTTTAAATGTAAATAACTGAACTAACTTTACATGTCAGTGGCTCTTGGTGACCAAAAGAGAAAATATTATTCTCACAGAATGTATTGGGGTGCTGGATGATGGCAGAACTGATCTCTGTTCTCTGATGTCTGTGATCCTGGCAGCCTAAGGCCACTGGATTTAAATCAGACTATTAAGACTCAGTCCTGCAAAGATCTTAGTGTCCTCTTGGTGCAAAGTGTTTGCTTTCATCTCCCAGAGCTTGAATTTACATTGTGTTCTCAAAGGGAGTCTGCACACAGAAACTTTGGGGTCATAAGCCCAAACAAATTTGGGAAAATCAGAGACTGTTTTTTTTTTTAATTGCATCAAAATCTTTGGGGCAGACTGGATGTGATAAGAAGATGGATTAACAAAAGTCCCAACTATCACTTGATTAAAAATAAATAGATTTTCATTTTTTTATTACTAGAATATTTTACAATTTTAGATGACGAGACCCACAAATCCAATTTTGTATTCCTTAATGTATCTCTAAATTAAACATAGCTTTTGGGATTTCTAAATCCTAAAACATGGTGTGTTACATTTATGGGGTTGGGGTAGTGTCTTCAAAAGAGTCTGAGCTTCCATTTATTGAGTTTGTCAATGTGTGCACCAGTTTCAACAGTGTTAATTGTGGCAGACATTAAGACTGTTTTCCAGGATAAAAAGACATTTGACTGACAGAAAATATTTTAGTGAGAATTTCTGAGAGATCAGATTGAGTATCAACCAAAGGATGAAGTGGAAGAGGGTCAGACAGTGGAATTGAAAGATAAATAATACTTCAAGGAGAAGAAATCATCTTTAAAAAGACCCCAAAGAGTACAGTTATGACACCCTTCACATGTTGTGTTTTAATCCACTGGCTGTTGCGTTGGGTTGATTTTAAGAGTTGAACCCAAATGCAAGCATACCACTGAGACTTGAAGGACTTACAAAAATAACTGGTCTATTAATAACAACAAAACAAAAAGTGACAGGGCAGCAAACTTACATAACCTCGGGAGTCACGGAGGAAATCAGAAAACATGGCAGTAGACAGGTTCATGCTTGGACAATGATGAACACAGAGACGCAAACTTAAATAGGGACGTTGATGACAACACCTGGGAAGGGACAACAGGTGATGAAGGTAAGGACTAATTACATGAGGGAGAAGTAACTGAGGAGCAGGGACAAACACACGAGGGAGACACACACACCAGGGGACACAGATCCTCACAGTACCCCACCCCTGCCCCCAGGGCATCATTTGACGTCCAAAGTCCCTCAACCCTAATTAGGGTGGGAGAAAGGGGGAACCAGCAGGACAGCGGGCACAGGGGATAACGAGGGAGAGAACCAAAAACTGACAGGAAGAGCCTGGGAAATAGACATAAGGAAAAAACAAACACCAAGAATTCAGGTGGACTACCAGGAGACCATCCGGCATGGGGCAGGGGTTCCGGTGGGTGGCTGAGCCCATCCATAACCAGGCAGGAGCTCTGGCGGGCAGCCAGGATACTGTCCATCACCAGGTAGGAGCTCTGGCAGGTGGCCAGGAAACCATCCATCATTGGAGACCCCAGGGGTCAGCAGAAGATAAGAACACAATGCCACTAGGGAAGAGACCACTGAGGAGGCCATAGCAGCCGGTGAAGGAACCAGAGATTTTGCAGCAGGTGATGAGACCATGGGATCTGTATCATGCAAAGAGACCAGGGGATCTGCAGTGAGTGTAGACACTAGGAGATCTGCAGTAGGTGTAGAGACTGGGGGACTGTAGATGGTGTGGGGACCAGGGAGGCTGCAGCTGTCCTTCAACTTCAAGAAAAGTGCAGCAAATTTAAATGAACTGTGTTAAACTTTCAGTTTTTCTGTGATTCTTGTCCTCAAACAACTATATCAAATTATTGTGCAAGAGTTTGAAAGTTATTGAATTTCAAAGTTGCTCAACATATTAAATAAGCATTTTTATGTCAGTAAAATTATTTTTCAATCTTGACAGACTTGACTTTAAAATTGTGAGACATGAATTTTCCAGGAGAAATCTTGCCTTAAAAAAACCCTACAATATAACCACACAGCTCAGAGATATCACAGGGGTCTTCAACTGAATCACAAACAGGACAGCCATGGTTTGACAGAAACCTTCTGTGGCTGCTCTCTGCTTCCCATGTGTTAATTTGAGGACAGTCTGATGTGGGCTACAGGTTTCAGCAGTGTTGTTTGGTGTTTCCTCAGACTGATGAAGCCTTCTGCATGGAGGGTGAAACGTCTCAGCACAAAAAAAAGGAAATGTCCAGATTATCTAACTGAGCATTGTTGGATTTAATACCTGGATTATTGAGCATGGACTTTGGTGTTTCAGCAGTGGTCAAAACAAATGCTTCATTCCAGCTGGAATGCATTTTATTCAATGTCCCCTAGGGGGATATGAGACAATATTCTGCCTCTGTAATAATAACCAGTCATGTAAAGAAACAGAAAATCAATAATTAAAGAGAGTGCAAGGCCAAGGTGGTTGACTTGATTTCCATATACAGTATTTCATTCAAATCTGTCCAGTGGCAATTACATGACTGTCTGCAATTCATGGCACTGTGAGATAACAATTCAAACCTGTCATGCTATCAGTGCTTATTTTGTTGACAGGCAAAAACAGTCAGCACTGATAAAATAAAAGCAAAAATTACATCTTTGTGAGAGTTATTAGAAGTTGGTTTAATAACTAAAATAACTTTACCCTGGTGGTTTTTAGACTGACTTTATTTTCTGAACAAATTCGGGAACAGAAGCAAGAAAAACGCAATCTCTGCTCTTGAAACTCAAATAATTAGTAATAATGGTTTATTTAGATTACTCTTACTCTTCATTACAGTAACCCTATTTTCCTTTGCCTATTTTCTATTCTAATACATCATTCCTGTTTTCTCTTTAGGTAAAGTGTATTTCCTGAAACGTTACAAGAAAGTGAACTTTGCAGAGGCGTTAAAGGCATGCATTCGAGATGGTTCATTGGTGGCCAAAGTGGGTCAGCTGTACGCAGCCTGGAAGTTTCAACTCCTGGATCGCTGTGAGGCCGGCTGGCTGGAGGACGGCAGTATTCGATACCCAATAGTCAACCCTCGCTCTCGTTGTGGGGGATCCCAGCCAGGGGTTCGACACTTGGGCTTCCCCGATAAAAAGTTCCGCCTCTACGGGGTCTACTGTTTCCGCAAAAGCGCAGATGGAACAAAAGTTGCTTCTAAAATGACAAAAGACCTGAAGAAAAGTTTGCCAAAGTGGCAGAGCAGCAACAGTCTCCCTGCAAATACCACAAATAGTCTTTAAAGCATAAAGACTGACAGCTCGGAAGGAGACAGTTTTAGATTATTCTGCATCTGTTGCCTTGTAGCCAGCTTCAATTCATTACTTTTAAATCCAAGCACCCACAGATTAGATGTATTTATCTGCTAATTTGCCAAAGGGAAAGAGCAAGGCTGTGTGAAAGTAGAGGCTGACATGTTTATTAGGCTGATTTTCCTTTAGTCTTCAGTTCTTCAATCATCTTAAGGAGTGTGTCAGCACTGATCTGTCATTTGGAACATAGCAAGATAAAACCACAGCTTAATAATCAATCAGGCAAATGACAAAACAAGGAACTTGCAAAGAATGTTCCTATTTACATGTGTGTGACTGATATCTTGGACCAGCTGTTAGTTCTGAGCTTCCAAGCCTGTTAAAACAAACAACAACAACAACAACAACAACAACAACAACAACAACAACAAAATCTGCCTGATTCTCTAGAAAAATCTGCGATGCCTTGCAAGTTTTGAGCTTGACTGCCTGAGTTAGACATTTGGTCAACAACTCTTCAACATTTTTTTCCACAAATAATACCTGAGCGTCTTATCATCAGAGCTGTATTAGGTAAATATTGCACTAGCTCTAAAGTGTTTGCACTTTATACTTAAAAACTTTAATTTTACGGTAGAATTTAAACTCAGGCATGCATGTATTGTTTGGCTAAGAGTAGATGCTCAGCCTGAATCTGCAAAAGTACAAAGCTATAACTTACTTCAGATAATGCACTTCAATGGTTTCTGAGTCTCATGGCCTTTGTTTTACTGTTTGTTTGTAACAAGACATTGATGGATGACTGTTTAGAAAATAAAGAGTAAGAAAATTGTTTACTTGAACAACATAGACTTGTGTGGTTTTCCATGAACAAGGGAAGGAGTTTTAGTTTCTGTGACAAATAAAGAAACTGAAACAAATGTAAGGGCCTACTCTTACTGACTGACAGACTGATACATTTATTATTAGAAAACAACAAGATATTGTTTAGAGCAAGATGAGAGTACATGCAATATAAAACTTGAAAGAGTAAAACAATAAAACTAGCATTTGGCTGCCACCTTGCATGCCTGCCACCAGCATACATGAGACAAGAACTCTTCATTTTGCAAAAAAAGCTGGTTGTCTCTGTTGCCTCAAAGATTGTCCACAACGGTATTAATTTTATTCTTGTTCTGTCTCTTCAGGTCAACTACAGTTTAGGCCAGAGCTTTAGTGTTTACATCTAACATTAGTGCTGTGTCATGTGATTGACTGCAGCAGGATAGACAAGAAGTGAAAGGAAAGGAAAATAGATAAGTGACTGGGTTGCGTATGACCGAATCATTTTCTAATTTCTGGAATGATCAATATCTCAGTAGTTTTATTTAACTATAGCCTTCATGTAGAATGTTTGGTGTCAGTCAGGTCTGTTTGCAAATGCTATTTCTGGATGGCAATGAAACCACAGTTGACAAGTAGGTATCGTTAATTTCCAGGCCTGTACATCACGACGATTATTGTATTACGTAAAATCACAAATGTTAATAGCCTGAAAGAAGAGACAAGCTATTCTGACACCAATCAATGAAATACAGTATGTCTTGAGTACTACAATCTGAAACTTGCTATCAGCTCAGGACATTCTTAGATGCATATTTTTAGTAACATGATGTTAAGTATATTTGACCCCAAGTCAGCAGACTGATAAGAAACAGACACTGGAGTAAAAAAGGCAAGTGATTTATTTTAAAAAGTGCAGGAAATGTTCTGGGCTTGAAGAAAAAAAGAGGACAAGGTGAGTATGGGCAGATTTCTGAATTATTTGAAAAATGGAAATTATTTGTAGATTATAACAAAGTCCATGCTCAATAATCCAGGTATGCAATCCAACATTTTTCAGTCAGGTCATCTGGACAGTTTCTTTTTTGTGCTGAAACATTTCACCTTCGATCCGGAAGGCTTCATCAGTCAAGGAAACACACAACAAAACTGATTCTTCCCCCAACAGTTTGACTGATGAAACCTTCCGGATCAAAGGCGAAATGTTTCAGCACAAAAAAAGAAACTGTCCAGATGACCTGACTGAAAAATGTTGGTTTGTAGATTATAGTTTCTTACTTCTGGTTTGTATTACAGGTCGTGTGGAGGGGAGGGAGAAATGAGGTCCTAGGTTACCAGAGGGTGAAGCGTGATCCAGAAGGGGTGAGTATTGTTGGATAGAGGAACAGGTTGAAGGTGCTCAGTAGTTTTGATCTAGGTTGATGCTCGGCAATTGCAGGAACAGGATGATGACAAGACGAGGTCACAAGGAGTGAGGAGATCTCAGACAACACAAAGGAGCAGGACTTAAAGTACACAGGATAATCACGTTAGTCAAATTTTCACAAGGATTAAGTTTTCCGGTTGTCACTTAAGTTACCATAAGTTATCATAATGTTCTAGCGTTGGATAGATGGATGGCAGGAGTTTAAATATTCAGTAAAGCAGTCTTCCAAACCAGGTGCAGGTGTGGAATGGTGAATGATTGCAATGATCAGCAGCTGTGGAGAAAGTGATTATGGCTGGAAACCTAGGAATGCCACAGTAGTACCTGCCTCTCAAGAATTTCCTCTTGGCGATCAAATTGTTTTTTTCCCCCACAATATCTATAAAAAGTGGTTATGATATCAGGATCCAAGATGAATGACCTAGGGATCCAAGAGCGTTCTTCAGGATCGTAACCCTCCCAGTTCACCAAATATTGGAAGCTGTGACCTCTGCATTGTACGCCCAGTAGGTGCCTGACGGTGAATGCAGGTTGGTTGTCGATCAACTGGGAGGGTGGGGGGTGGAGGAAGATTGGTCAGAGGGTTCAGGGGACTTGTGGAGATGTGTTTTATGTGTGACATGAGACATATGGGGTGCATCTTCATGGAGTGTGGGAGTTGAAGGCAAACAGCCGAAAAGGTTAATAAGATAAGATGAAATAGAACTTTATTGATCCCACAGGAAATTGTGCCAGAGTTTCAGTACAAAGGAACATACACAAGGAACCACTCAAGATATAAAAAAAAAAAAACCTGAGAATCAATCTATCTATCTATCTATCTATCTATCTATCTATCTATCTATCTATC